CGATCTAAGGCCTTTGGTAACTCCTCAAGACTGGTATTAATCTTAAATGGCCAATGGAGGCAGGAGCAAGGAAAGTGAGACAAATCATTATGCAAGACAGTTTTTGGAGGAATGTGATTTATGCACTTAAGCTGATCGGTCCTCTTGTTAAAGTGCTTCGGCTGGTGGATGGAGAGAAGAAACCACCGATGGAATATATCTATGAAGGCATGGAAAGGGCTAAAGAAGTCTTTGCTAATACTTTTAACCAAAGAGAAGAGGAATACAATCAAGCGTTTGAGATCATTGATGAGTGATGGGATTGTCAACTCCATTAGCCTTTACATGCTGCGGGATATTTTTTGAATCCAGAATTTCAGTATCTACATACCAATGAAGTGAACTGTGAAGAAGTTATGAATGGTTTATATAACTGCATCCAAACTCTGGTTCCTGATGTTGTTACGCAAGACCAGATTTCTCAAGACTTGGATAAATTCAAGAGTGCCTCTAGACTCTTTGGTAATACCATGGCAATTTGACAAAGGACTACAAAATCACCAGTAAGGAATTGGCTTTATTGTGTTTTTAATTTGTTAAACAATTAACAAAACTTATCTTGACTCTTGATATTTGTCGATGTCTCTACCTACAGCTGATTGATGGTCTTGTTATGGAGCCTCTACTCCAACATTTAGAGACTTTGCCATAAAGGTTCTTAGTCTCATGGTTAGTGCCACTGTATGTAAGAGAAATTGGAGTGTATTTCAACATGTAAGTGACTTATATTATTTAGTTTTGCAGTTCTGCTTGAGTTTGTTACTACTCATTACTTATGATTTTTTTTCTATCAACAGCTTCACACCAAAAAAAAAGGAATCGATTGGCTCAAGACCGATTGAATGACATGGTATGTGTCAAGTATAATCGTGGGTTGAAACGTCCGTACAATAGAAGAGACACAATAGATCCCATTCTCCTAGATGATATTGATGAAAGTAATGAGTGGCTGCTAGGACGAATGGATGGTCATGATGATGATTATAATGACTTGGTGTTAAACGATGGTGATTTAATGTGGGAGATGGTCAGCAATGCTTCTGGCGCTTATGAACCTAGCTACATGACTCGAGCTGGTAGAGCCTCACTATCTTCAACTACAGCTCAGAAATGAAAGGAGAATGCCTCGACCTCCACTCAAAGAGCATCTCAGACTTACAGGCAGACTCCTCCCATGTCATTGATTGATGAGGATGATGAAATTGAAGAAGATTTTGGAGTTGGAGTAGGAAATGAAGTTAATAAAGAGTTGGTGGATGCTGCTGAGTGTGCTAATGAAGATGAGTTTGATTTTTAGAGTTTTAGACTATTTGAAGTTTTAGTTGGAAATTTGTAATGTTGTTTCTTGGATTGGTTTTTTTCTGTGTTTGATTTTCTATGTTTTAAACTCCTGATTTTTTAGAGTTTTTGCCTAGATTGGATTGGTTTTTTTCCCTGGTTTTTGAATGATAATGCGTTAACATGCTTCCTGGATTAATAAACAGTCATAAAAAAAACTAATATAATGTTTTTCTGTGTAGGGTTCGCCTCAGGTACATACGGCGACCAAAGGCGATGGCCTAAGCGTGAGGCGTTTTTTTAGCAATTCATCGCCTCAGCTCACTTCGTGCCATTTAAAACATAAGATCAAATTAAATTAATTAAGGACTACTGTCTGATTCTGTCTTTTGTTTTCTATATAGAAATATTAAATTAAGAACGTACGCAGGATTCTGAACGTTGTTTCTTTACTTGCAACATCCTCCTCCATATTGAGAGGACTTTTTTCTTTAGATTCTGATTTGTACCAGTTTAATCTACTGGTTAATTAATTCGGCTTACACATTTTATATCAAAAACCACAAAAGTCAAAATCGCGTTAGTAACCACCAAAAGCCTGATGAGCCACCACTGTGCTCAGACCCATCTGGCTTGCATTTGAACGTTCCAAGAAACATCTTTCTCTGTCTCTGCCAAAGCAATGACTGTCTATCGTTACCTGTAGGCTCAGTACCCGTGATCTCAGTTACAGCACTTTCATATGTATTTTGAGTCTTAACCCACACTGCAGCATCACCAACAGTCATTGTTTTGGCATCCCACATGGAGGAGTAGGATGTAAATATCATAAAGTATATTCTCATATATTGCATTATGTAATCTTTCCTTTCTTCTTAGGTTAAGTTCATTATGTGTACATGTATATATACCCGTTGAATGGAATAAGAATGACACGACATTCCATCATCTCTTTGTCATGGTATCAGAGCGATCCTTGACCTAATAAGAGAAAAACACAGTTAAAATTTTGAGAGAGGAGAGAGTTAGCGATGGGTGGTAATAAAAACACCGAGAAAAGCGCGAAAGGCGCGACGAAAGTGACCGACGACGGCAACGCGTCGGCAGTGATGGAGAAGGCGATGTTGTCGCCTTTCTATTTGCACCCATCCGATGGACCAGGGAGCTTAATCACAACAGTTCAATTGAGAGGAGAGAACTATGAAGATTGGGCCAAGCACGTGCGGAATGCCTTGCGAACTAAACGCAAATTGGGATTCATCAACGGGACGATGAAGAAGCCAGAAACTGCAGAAAAGCTTGAGCAATGGGGAGTTGTGAACTCAATGATTGTGGCATGGATCATGAACACAATTGAGCCGACGCTGAAGACATATGTGTCGATGGTTGATGAAGCTTACGAGCTGTGGGAAGACTTGAAGTTGCAGTTTTCGGTGGGGAATGGACCACGGATCAGTGAACTACGTGGTGAGATTGCAAATTGTCGACAAAATGGAGACACAGTTAATGTGTACTTTGGGAAACTTAAGAAGATGTGGGATGAATTGGCTGTTTACAAACCAATAAGGACGTGTAGCTGTGGTGAATTGACGAAGATATTGGAAGATGATCGTAATGAAGAACGAACAAACACGTTCTTAAACGGTTTAGATACTGCGAGATTTGGGACCGTACGCTCGAGTATTACCAGCATCGAGCCACTTCCTAAACTCAACCAAGTCTATCAACGGGTGATTAGAGAGGAGAGACAGCAGATGATGGTGAGGAACAGAGATACTCCGGAAGCAGTCGGGTTCGCAGTAAATGCTGGGAACAAATTTGGTGCAACTTCGTCACATCCACAACGTGAGAAGGAGATGACGTGCACATATTGTGGCAAATATGAGCACCCGAAATCTGATTGCTTTCAACTTAATGGGTATCCTGACCATTGGGGTGAAAGAGGAAGAAATTACAATGACCGAGGGAGAGGAAGGTCAGGCCGTGGTGGACGATTTGGTAGAGGGGGTGGAGCAGCTGGCCGCGGAGGTGGAAGAGGACCGACAGTCAGATCGAATGCAGCACAAGGGCCACAGGTAACTGCAGCAGCAGTAGCAGCGGCTAATGCAACACGAAGAGAAGGTGACTTTGATCACCAGTCCTTACCACAACTAAGTGATGAACAATGGACGTCACTTCTTAGCTTCATCTCTTCTCAGAGAACGGATCCAAATGAAAAACTCAATGGTAAGACAGAATGTGGAGAGTTTATTATTGACACAGGTGCTTCACATCACATGACATGGAATCTTGAATATCTATGTAATGTGAGTGAAATTCCTCCGTGTATGATTGGGTTACCTGATGGTGATAATGCGGTGGCGACGAAACAAGGCGATCTATGTTTAGGGGGAGACATGTGGTTAAGAGGAGTGTTGTACTCGAAGGAGTTGACTTGCTCACTAATCTCTGTTGCAAAACTGTTAAAAGTTTGTAAGGGATTTATTACGTTTACTGATGAGCTGTGTGTGTTGCAGGACCGTACTACGAGGAAGGTGATTGGAGCGGGTGAAGAGTGTGGGGGAGTGTATGTGTTTCAAGGCGTCATTGGCACAAAGACACACAAAGTGGTGAGCTCGGAGACTTGGGATTTATGGCATCGTCGTCTCGGTCATCCATCTAGTCAAGTTATTTCGTTTTTATCGAGTATGAATTTTTTAAAAAAGGAGAATGTCAAAACAGTTTGTGATATTTGTTTACGGGCGAAACAAACTCGAGATTCTTTTCATGAAAGTTCTAATAAAGCTGCTGGTATTTTTGATTTAATTCATTGCGATATTTGGGGTGCGTATCGTATTTTATCAACATCTGGGGCTGCTTACTTTCTTACGATTGTTGATGATTATTCACGTGCTGTGCGGGTGTATTTGTTGATGGAGAAAAAAGAAGTAGGCACAACACTTAGGAATTTTTTCAGGATGGTCGAGAGGCAGTTTGATAAGAAAGTGAAAATTGTACGCAGTGATAACGGTGGCGAATTTCTGGCTCTAAAATCATTTTTCTTATCAGAAGGAGTTGTTCATCAAACGTCGTGTGTCTACACGCCACAGCAGAATGGCAGGGTTGAACGAAAACACAGACATATCCTCAATGTCGCTCGTTCACTCATGTTTCAAGCAGGGATGCCGATTCGTTTTTGGGGAGAATGTGTACTCACGGCATGTCACTTGATTTACCGAACACCATCGGCTCTTCTTAAAGGACTAATGCCATATGAGATGTTGTATGGAGCTTCACCAGATTTAACCTCATTAAGGGTGTTTGGTAGCTTGTGTTTCGCGAGGAGAGTGGTCCGAGACAAAGACAAATTTGGCGAAAGGAGTAGGAAATGCATATTTATGGGTTACCCCTTCGGAAAAAAAGGATGGCGAGTATTTGATATTGAGAAGAATGAATTTTTCGTA